ATTTTTTTGGGATAGTGTTACTAGGCATGATAAGTGCCTTGTGAAATATTTTCAGCCCCAATCCACCAAGAAAAATGTCAAGGATTGGTCCAGGATGATTGCTCTATGCAAAATTTACTTTTGTTGGGGACTTTTCAAGTTATACCCAGTGTAAATTTATTTGCTATCATGCTATACTTCAGGCATTGTTTAAAAGACATCCTGAGTCTCCATGGATCAATTCAAAAGGATGGTAGCATTTTTTCTCCTTGCAGAAAAGAAGGACCAATGTTGTAGATATTTGTTTACTTCCAGAAAAACTCTGGGAATTAGCATCTACAGACATCATGCAATGTTCATTTTAACATTTCTACCTACCTTTTGTATTATACACACTACAAACAACAATAGGGAGTCATTTTACCTCATTCCAACAAATATATTGAGTGAAAAATACATAAAATGGAGAATAAGTTCAAATTTACCTTTTAGAGGAGGATATAAAATTTTCTAGCCCAGAGACTTTATGAAACTTATAACAATAGCAGGGAGATCCAGTGTTCAAAATATCTCTTCCTCAAGTTGTGAATTGCTTTCAGTAGGTTGCAGTCATTCAGAATTTCCCACTTTGTTACATCCCATTTTTGGCACTTATCCTGAGTTTTCAATTGTTCATCCCCAGACTTGGTATATACAATCTACACCTCCTTAGCTATATTTTATACACTAGAGCTTAGTTCTCAAAATGTTTGATTCTTGTGTTATAGCACCAACTTTGTCCAAAAAATGATCGGACAATCTTTTTGCCTAGTTAGTGTACATCTACTACCAGGTGCCCAAAAACAAAAGAAAAACGTTGAAAAAAATTTATACATTGAAAGGGTGGGCAAACGTCCGTACAACCCGTTTACGGCCGTTTTTTGCCCGCCCGTTCCCGTTCTGACTTTTGAGTTGCAAATTTACGCCCGTCGATCGACGGCCGTCCCCGTCAAACGGACGGTGCGCAGCCCTAGCGACTCGAGCGGTGGCGTGGTATGCGTACGAAGAATTTGCGCTCTACTGTGGTCAGAGAAGAAGATGACGACGAATGCAGTGATGACAAGGAGAGCGATACCAGCCCGACCGGAGCGCGTCCGTACCGAGCATCTGGATGAACCTCGGGAGGCAACTTGTCGTTTTTCAGTTGAACAATAACGACGACGTGACCGACCATTCTTCTAAGTTCTCTCCGACCTTTTTGGCGTTGGCAAGGTTTCGAAAATCTTTTCTAGATTTCGACCGCCTCTCGGAACGAGTTTTACCAGCCCTTCGCGCAATGTAGTTCTGAACTTCCTCCCTCCTCCTTCGACTCAAAGTATCGGCAATTTCGAGCCAACGCGACCCACATTCTGCGGCTAGGAAGCTCGTGGCTCCCTCGTAAACGCTACAAAGCTTCATCACCACGACTCGTTCTTGCCCAAACGGATAACAGGAGAAGACTTCTCGCTGACTCGTCAACAGACAACTTGTGCCTAGGACGCGCTTCTGACCTGATCCGTCCATGTCGGATGCACCAAGTTGGGGGACGGACGCTGTGGGTCCCCCTTCGGGAAAATCTAGTATCAGATTTCCGAAGGACTCTCGCAACGGGCGCCCGGCCCTCTGTCCAACCCTGGGGCTCGTCGACTGCATAAATAGCTGCTAATTAGCAGGTAATGGTCTCTCAGTTGTGCTGGTCACTAACTCCCGCTTGTCTTTCTTCTCCTTGAACCATCCACCATCTCGAATCAGAATCATCCCTCGAATTTGAACTATCCAACTCGTAATAGCTCAGTCGCACCTTAATATCGCCATGCTCCTCGCTGTCCAGCTTACCTTCGTTCTGGCGTTCCTGTCCTTGTCTGCAATTGCATCACCTGTCTTTTTGCAGCGTCGTAGTCCTATGACTATCTACCATGGGACATGCAAAGAACACGTAGCTGACATCAAGAAGGCACTCAAGTTGCTTCCCGGCCCTTTTCCTGGAGATTTCACGTACAAACGTGCGTTTATGTTTTTTAACTATATCGTTTCGTTCAAATTGTCGATCGACTAATATCTTGATTTATTAATAGCTGCATTTTATTGTACGGACAGTTATGCGCAAGCGCACACGTATGTGCAGGATATAAAAGGGGAGTGTAAACAGGGACATGCTGTTGTTGGTATGTCTGCTAAATTCTAGACCCAGCCACATCTTACAAATGAGCCAATGAACAAAATTTTGCTACGATCCTGGGAGTCTCAAGTACGAACTATTCGCATAATTGATTGTACCTTGTTAGCTCTAATTTTCTCCACTCACAGCGTTTTAAACCTAGGAACTGGCACAGACGACAACTCCCCGGCTGTGAAGGTTCGCTGAACTTTGAACAACTTAGTGATTGCTCGCTTACCTTGTAGAAATTGCAGTTTTTTCACGCTTGTCAACAGCTTGCACTCAAAGTATTGGGTCATGAGAAACTTGATGCCGCCGACACGAAAACGAAAGCGATGGTTGATAAACATGATGTGATTTCAGGGTGAGCGCTGCATAAGTATCTTAAGGGCTCAAACATTGAAACACCGTATGCAAAGATCTGTCCCGCTGTCCTTCATACCACAGAAGACAAATCTCAAGGATCCGTTCACACAAATCGTATTCCAGACGGAGAAATGTGTGTAACTTTTTCAGCTTCATGCTACCTCGAATACTGAGGCGCATCCCGTACCCAGCATTGAAGGCATTGACCATTACCAAGATCACGTAATATGTACACCAATCATGTATGGTTTCACGATTGAAGAAATGATAGCGTTGAATGTTGAACATACATTTCATACTGCTGGAGCTCCCAGCTCATAGTGATAGTGAGGGTCACCGCTAGCACTAGTTCTGAGTTTTCAACACGTCGCCTTGAAAGTTTGCGCTCCTCGCTAACTAGGGTTGACTATGTCATTGACTCGCCGAAGGGTTTGCTTGTTGGTAGTTGTAGGTGTAAGGCTTGCGAGAGCTATTCTCGTGTGGTACGAAATTTGAGTATATTAGTATCAGGCACTTTCCAATCCCAATTTGCAGGTGTCTACCAGTCCGAATCCTGTTACTACGCCTTTGAGATTTCGCCTCGAAATCTAATACCAGAACCCAGCCAACAACTTCCAAATGCCATCTCACATACTATCGGCACACGAGCACTCCACCGCAAAGAAAAATGTCATACGTAGGATGACATGGCTGAAGTTTGCTACTGCATTTAGAGTTCAGAGGTAGGTGCATGTGAGCCTACGCAAACGATTCAGTAGATGAAGTAGGTGGTAGGCATGCGAATGTAGTATAAATAATAGAATAAAGCAAAGCTTAGTATGTCCTGGCATAGCATTGCCGCCCACAATAACCCATCGAATAACCCAAGGGAAATGAAGAGTGTAGCTCGAGAGAACTGGGTAAAAAAAGGTGGAGGTGGCGGATGTAAAAACCTCTCATGGAAAGAAAACCAACAAGGTCCATGTGGTCATAACTAGAAACACTGCGAGAATATTCACGTTGGTTCCCGACAACGATGAAGCGCTGCTCGCGAGCGTTTTTGCGTATCCTGCGCCACATAACCCGACGGAGAGCTCGGCCGCGGGCTGATACGTCGCTTTTAACCCCGCCAGTCCTGGTGCCTGTGTAGAATTTTGTATTGCAGCCGCGTAGATCCCCATAACGCTCTTGGTGCATGCACCACATGAAGGCGTCGAGCTTTTCGGTAATAGGATGCTCAAAGGCAGCTGATAGTAGTACAGATCGGAAGGACTGGGGTTCCGAACTGCTGTTAGGAAGCAGTAAGTGTTCGTCGTTGGATCGGCTAGACAGGATGCATCATGCATGACTTGAAAGGCTTGTAGAGCTGCATCATCATATAAATATAAATATGGCGATCTCGATCAGGGGTTGTCTACAAGAGACTGACCTGCCAAGGTGTTCACGGCCATGGAATTTTGATCTTTGAGGTCTTGGGCACATGCTGTCTTGAGGGATGCGGCGAACCATCCCATATTGGCTGCACATTGGGCAACTCCTGGGCTCGTGTTACACGTTCCCCAGATTATTGAATTCAAAAGCGTTAAATTTTGTTGGGCCTGCTATTTATCATTAGAGACTGAAAACGGAGAAAAAAATATTTGAACCGTACTAACATTGATAAAAGAGTCTGAACTCTGGAGAAGCAGAGAGAACGGACGACATGCACGGAAGGGCTGCGTGTTCGTCATATTGCCGAAGAAGTTGAAACATGATACACTTGAGAAGTTCTGCGCAAGGTTTCCATCGAAAGGTTGAGGAAATGGTGTCGGCAGGGGAGGAGGGGAGGATGGGACTGTCGGAGTGATTTGATTGGAAATGCCAGTTGAGGAAGCTGCACCGAGAGACGTTGACGTTGAAGGAGCTGAAGACGATGATGAACTCTGGGGCAGTTGAGGCGCAGGTAATGGGTGCCGTCGGTGTGGCCTCCGATTTGAACCGTCGGCGATCAGGCCATGCCATGATACGGGTACAGGCGGCGAGAAGGGGGTCAAAGAGAGAAGTCGTGCGGAAATAGTGATTGCCATGAGAACGAGGGGAACAATAATGACCGCCCGTCGAAACTGGCGTCCAGTCCGCTTCTTGGCCCCCAGCGTAGGGCCAATTGACGATTGTGACGTGGGGTTGGACACAGGGGTGAAGTTAGCGGTCGGTCCGGGAGATGGAGGCGGAGTGAACATGTCGAGGAGGGGGTTGGTGAAAGAGCGTCGGCCAAATGAATGTGGTTGTTCAAAGCGCGTAGAATTGACAATAAGTGCGGTCCTCCTACATTAACATAGATGCTTTAGCGCGCCGTATGAGAGAGAGCTGGAAAGAGTACTACCGTGCACTTCTGGCGCTGTAGGGTCGTGAATAAAGAAGACGAAGAAGAAGAAACCTCACGTTTAAGACGCTAGCGAACAGCGTCGAAAACACCTTGCTTGAGATCGACAATGGTGAGAACCCATTTCAGGGGGCACCCCTTGTTTTTATGATTTGAACATACGAACCGAACTCTTGTGACTGATTTCGCACGATTCGACAAGATTAGTCTCTGATGTGAGGCACCGGAGCGCGCATGGCTATAAATTCAACCAGAAACCTTGCAGAAACCGCTCAATGTCCTTCAAAACGGTGTTTTGCAAGTTTCTGACGCACCGTATAATTAGTAGAAGTGGTGAGCGCTCAAAAATGAACCTACATCATAGTACAGCCTGAAGGCTGAGAGAGACGAAACAGAATATTACACGCTTATTTAACCGTTTCTCTGCCTGTTTCTTCTTTCTATTTTGGGACCGGTCATCGACTCCGTATACTTCGGGAACCATCCTACCAATATGCTAAGTATCGATCTCCGTATCCCAGATGTTTTACAAAATTTATCCTCACTTCTCAGCCTGTCGAGCTTTGAAGGTGACTCGTAATATTTGAAAGGTGATGCTAAGGGTATTTAGTGAGGCAAATGTCTGTTGACACGTGAGATCTTGACTCTAGTCACTAGTGGCCAAACTTCCGCTTGACCTTGGCTTCACCTCACCACATCCTCTTACCTCGTTTCCATGCCCAACTTGTAGCAACGTGAACAATCCTTGGAAGAGAACGGACGCTGTACACGGACAGTCAGAGCCGGGTTAAGTTACGAATCAATAACTTCCTGTTGAGAACACCGCTCGCAGCAAAATGTCGCGGGGCGACTATGAACGCCTTCCAATGTACGCGTCTTCCGAATCATTACCCCGTCAACGCTCATCTGCGTCCTCCGCGCCTTCTTTACCCACAACGCAATTCTTTCCTTCACCTCCGGCGCGCTCACTAAGGTCCCGCACTGGTCACGTACCGAAAACTTCACGATTTATCCCCAAACCACGTACAATTACAACATTTATCAAGTTCGCCCTGCCAACAGCCCTATTGATCGTACTAGCCGGATTATATCTCTACGAACCCCACATAGAAATCTCTTTCTACCCTCGGAAGTGGATTCACCAGGAAATTGAACATATAGCGCCACTTGCGGGGTGCTTCGACCCAGCTCACGTCAGCCCGAAATATAATTTATCTGCCTACGCGTACGGGCCTAGACGAACGGAGGTGCAGGCGGGCATGCCACTTAGATTGGGAATGGACTGTTATGATTTTGCCGGAACGATACAAAAGCAACCCAATACCGCTCGCGGGAATACTAACCGCGTGCCACCCGAAGAACGAACACAATTCCACACTTACTGGAGAAACGATCTCGCGCCTTTCGGTCCTCGTCAAGAATGGATGCTAAAATCTTTTTTCGCAACGCAGGACGTGGAATCGACCCGCTTGATCTTGTGGTCAAATGGGGATTTGAGCTCAAATGATATCCTCCGAACATACCTTCGACGATATCCCGATACGTTCGCCTTGAAAATCGTGGATATCCCGGACCTCGCCAAGGGGACGGAGCTGGAAGGAAGCGATCTTCTGACTAGAAAAGACGCCAAGGCCTGGATAGACGGAGATTTGATTCGTCTTCTCCTTCTATGGAATTATGGCGGAGTCTGGGTCGACATGGACTCACTGTTGACGCGAGATTTGGAGCCTCTGCTGGAACACGAGTTCGTCACGCAATGGGATTGCTATGGTGCGTTCTCCGTCATTTCGAACTCAGTCTGCGTCTCATATTCAACCTTCTTTGTAGACAAGATCTATCTCCCTCTTAACGGGGCCCTCATGCGATTCCGCCAACATTCACCCTACCTCTGCGAAGCCTTCCACGTGATGGCCACCTCCGCCCCTCCTCGATCAGGCTCGACCGACTGGGGTGCCCTTCTGTACTTCAAAGTCTGGCGGCGGCTGATCGCAGAAAACGTGCCCCCGTTCAAAATCCTTCCATTCTGCTTCAGCGATGGGCGGTCATGTAGGCTCGACAATCGACTACCGGATCCCTTCACCCCAGATGCTAAAGATGGCAAATGGACGATGGGGCTGGGAATGGAAGAAGGTGGCGGGCTGGATAAGGTCCTTGGGAAGATTTTCGGGGTCCACCTTCATAACCAATGGGAAAAGGCCTATCCGGCTGGTGGATGGGTGGAACGGCTGCTCTTAAAAAGATATGACGTCAAGCTGGGTACTAGGGAGAAGGACGAGATCTGAAGGACTGCTGGGGATTGGTATATTATGATATTTAATGCTCAATTTTGGTTTCAGGCAGGATGGCGAGCTTGGGCTTGATATGGCTGCTTGAACTGGGGCACCTGAATGCTTTCAGTTGAGCAGCGTTTATGAATCGGTACGTCTCCGGTCATGTTTACATTTCGCAGCTTGATTTTGACCAGATCCCCTTTAGACGTTGTCGTGATACATTCTGTTTACACTGTAGAGATACTACCTCAGCAATGCGAAACTGAAGTTGACTCCCCTACCTCTCCATCTTGCCAACATTGTCTCTGGGAAAGGCTGTTTGCTCACGTATGCAGGAAACCTTTCAGGCAATTGACCAATGTTTTCCAGCGAGATTGATTAAATTTTACAGAACACACATAGTCGATCGAGTTGCTGGTCTAACCAACGCTAAGCAAATGGCGCTGATTAGGGGAGCCTGCCAACTTACTTGCATGAGTCGGCACTACTATAAGATCTCTACTTTGACAATCATTGTGTTGCAGGAGAAGTGGCTAGACCTTGGACACCTCCAAAGCTTGATTGTCTGTTGCTGATCCGATTGGATTGTCGGATATCTTCAAAAGCTCAACCTGGATCTTGCAAACCTTTGGGCATTCGTGTATCCTCCTTTTGATGCGATCCAGTGAATTACCACCAGCACCATTGCTTTTGTCTCTTCAAACCGAATCAGCGTTACAGTCAAAATCGAGATATATCACAGACAACCGATATTGAAATGAGTTGGCAAGCGTTATATGTCTGATTTCGTCAGGCATCAATGCACCAAGCGACTCCACCAAAACATATTTGTGTCGGCTGACCAGAGATAACATGATTTACTTAGATGGTCGTCGAACCTTGCGATTGCGTTCGATGACGTCCTTTTGATGAGCCAAGGATATCGGAGGTCGTAAATTTGTCGTACATACCGATCGCAATAACAAATCTTTGCCGCTGACGTCGCGAAGGTGTGCATGATAGGGCGTAAGTATCAGCTACTGTCGAGGCAAGGTCAACTTAGGACCAGGCCAGCTATAACGCTAGATTGTGCGCTACAATTCGCAGCTACGCAGGTCAGGATCCGGATTGAACTCGCACTCCTTGACCTTCAAAGGACCATTTTCGTCATGAGTTGATGTGCCGAATCTCGAAAGCCTTGTTGCTAAATGGCCTGCGTAACTTGATGAGCAGATTGATCTTGTATTGTTCGTCACAGAAAGGGTTCATTTGGCAAGTGTAGATTGTTAATCCTAATCACATCCTATGTTCCGTGGATCATCCCGATGACTTCAGTCATATATGGCTTATCATCCGTTGATGCAAATGATGCTGGACACGCATTAAAAGATGTGCCAAAGACATACGAGCTAGCAGTAGGTAGACTTTGCAATGAGGCCACCTCCAAATGCCTTGCACCTCCTTGATGCTCTCAGAGTTACAGAGACGGCATTCGTCGGACCACCTTCCCTTCATTCCGCGCATGAGTTCGCAGTTTATCGAGCAGCGGTGAGTTTGCCCATCGCTCCGGAGGTGTCCTTTTCCCAGTGGACCAATAATAAATGTCCCAATCTGGTTCATCAAGGAACTAATGATATATCGAATGAGAAATTGCAAGGAGGGGAGATAGGAGGGCAGACCTTGTCATACTCCATCAAATCGGCGTGGCTCATGGTACTCAACTCTTCGCGCGCGAAAGTACTTAGCAGGAGATCACACTCCAAGATACCACGCTTTCGAGACTGGTATGTGAGCCGGGCTCGAAGAGTATCTTCCTTCTCATCGGGTCTTGGCAATGGGGTCGGCGGTGGAGTCTCGGAAGAAGTGGTTGTCGCTTTCATGTGCTCCGGAGTGTGAGGTAGAGGCCATGGATCAGCAAAGAGGCGACGGGTCGACGATATAAGGCGCCGTTGCGTCGATGCACGCCGACTGTAGGCGACAGAGACTTTTTTCAAACTTTGAAGCATTGAGTTCCGTTTTCAAATTTTCGTGCTTGACCAGAATCAACGGCTCCGGCCCGCAGAAAGCCGCCTCCCAGTCGTTTGCACTTATTGATCACCGCAACAACTTCTTGACAGGATTGCATCGGTGGATTATCTTTTCCGAAGTCTCACTGTGCGCCTACCCGTTTTTCTAATGTCGCCTTTCTCATTTCCTTTTCAGAAGGGCTCGTGGTTCTAGGGAATTTTGACGAGTTTTATGATCATCATTGTCGTTACTCCTTGAATGGAATGGATCATAACGGTCGAGACTTCTCAAATAAGGTCGAACATAGCTGTTCTCTCCCGAATGAACATACGTGGTTCCCTTGGATGGTTTTCCTTACTCTCAAGCTAACAGTATCTGCTGCTCACTCCCAATTTCAGCATTTTGGAGGATCAGTAGATCAAGATGAGAGCAAAGGCGTCGTGGCGTTCACAATCAGGATACTGTAATACATGCCTTGCAATTGATTCGGAATCTCGGATCTTTCCTTCTTTTCGTCTTCCAGCTCGCATCTCCTTCAACCAGCTTTCTCAGCATCGCGTTGGGTGTACCTGGTTCTTCGTCATGAAATTTCAAATGGCTTGGGATACGGGTACGTGCATAACTACAATTCTGGCGATATTTTTATTCATCCATTGAAATTGATTGAGAAGCAAGAATCTGAGAACTTAAGCAGCAAGCTCGATATCACTACCGCCTGGATGACTGTCATGGCCATGTGTTCTCTCTGTGGGTACGTCTTGAAACGCACTCAGCCAAGATCAAGGGTCTAATTGCGCTGGTACTACCAGGAGCGAACGACACAAACATCATCATTCAACGCTAAGCTTCACTACTGAAGCTCAGCTTCCTTACACTCAAGGAAATCACTGTGCAACACTATTGGTACCATATAGAACATGAATCGGCATGAATTCTTTTCAAGTCTGCCCCTCACATTCACTCACCTCCGAGTATGACCCTTGGAAAATGGCCTTCTCGACCATTGATCTGCCCTGCAATCAAACTCCTCTCCGATCTAACAGATTCCGAAATACAAATTCATCTCAGGACGACTCCTCTTACTTCCCTTTTTCGAATAGGGACGACCTATAATCTCGACGATCGACCATTTCCGGAACCGATAGATATAAGTAGATAGAATGCCATCTCTCACACCTCGCTTGGCATGCGATTTATTCCTCTCTTTACCTCGTTTTCCATCTTTTTCGTTCCTCCAACTACAAGCGCGTCGGTGGCACAGTAATCTTGCCCCCTCTTCAAGGATGGACGTGCCACTGCTTGATAGGTATGATCACGCCCGGACATGATACTTCAAATATTTCAAACTGACTGGCTTTGTTCCCATATTCTTTCCTTGCGACCGTAGACTCATTTACCTGTGCGCATCTTGGGTCGGCACGATATTGTATACTGTCGAGCTCGGGCTTGCTGGCTACTATTTCTACCGATTTTCCAGCCGCCCGCGTCTACGGTTCTTGGTCGCCGGCATATTGCTAATGGATTCTGTCGGCATGCTTGCCTTTTTTGCTCAAACTTGGATGGTACGCTCATCACATACGTTCGTGGCGTCTCACTTATTTTACTATCTTCTTTGAAGATCCTGTCCGACGCAACCTGTACCACCTTTTCTTTTGCTGCTCAAATTTGGGCTCACAGAAGGAATAGCACAACAACCGTCACTCTTTGTTCATTCATGCACTCGGCCAATCCTCGTTTGCACCACCGCCGTATCTGCCATAATAGAGCAAGTATTCCTAATTAATCGCTACAAAAGACTGTAAGCATCCATCCCCCTGCTTCCGAAGGAAAAGGTAATGACATCGCATACAGGTCACAAAATTGTATCATTTGCATGCCACTGGTACTATTGGTCATTCTCCACGTCAGTGTCGACATTTCTCAATATTCCATTCCAAATCCTTACGAGATAACATTGCGAGCAGGCGGGCTTCAGCTTCTTTTCTGGGTTTTATGTTTTCTTCCGCCCCGATGACTCCCCCGGTCCCGGTATCGTAGGCATGCTCACGACCACGTACGCTGGTACTCTCACGAACAATACCGCTCAGCCTAACAATTTGCTTGGTAGAATTTCGGCCTGCCTAGCAACGGCAGTAGACGTACTCATCCCCGTGGCACTTGTGTGGCAGCTCCATGCAATCGGCCCTGTTTGTCTTGAGAGGTAAGCGTCCATCGGGATACGTGTGGATCATCTCCTCAGGATTTATAGGTCATACGGACGAAGGTTAATCAACGCGATCTCCGCTGGCTGCCTCGGTGGCGTGCTGAGCATTATCCTCATCATCCTCTTTTGGACGCAACGAAACGGTTGGCAACAATCTTTTTTACCTCATGAGATCGTCCTGATGTACTCTATGCAGTATATGCTGGTGCCGTTTTTCCACTGGGAGGGGTACATTGCATTACCGTCCTGGTGAACCTTGTGGTTTGCAAAAGAAGAAGCACGATGGTTGGCTTCCCACCGGCGCCGAAGTCCCCTGAATTAGATGTGGAAATCGTTCTGGAATCTGCTCGTGAGTTTCTCATGCATGTTCCTCTACCCCATCCTTACGAAGTGTATGAATAGCGGGGAAGCGGTCGATTAGTCCTCGAATAGTAGACACTTTTGTGAGCCGTCAAGCTTTCTTTGTGGATGTCGAAGTGCGCAATTTCGTTGTTGTCAATCGCATATACTTAACACCAATTGCTCAGAGGAAATCCACACAAGATACAAAGATTGGATATGGGGAATCCTTAGAAGGAACGTTCTCACCGGTTGCGCTGTAGAATTGCGGGGTTGTACGATGGCTGGGTCATTTAATTTATCAGAAACGGTCTCTTTCATCATTGTTTCATTGCATGCTCTTCGATAATCTGTAAATAATAACCACCATGTAAACTAAATTATTTCATGCGTTCCTGTAATTGACCCCACAGAAATAGATGGGCCGATTATTACGTTTTGACTTTAGTCACCTCCACCTTTCCAGGTCGGTGCGTCTTTTCATAATTTTTGACATAATCAGGGGACTTGGTGTGCGCCCTTCCGGTATCATCGTTTCTGCCTCGCTGAGGTGTGGGCACTTGGTACCTAGACTCTGGATCAGCATACTCTGGCGATTGCTTGTAAGTCGACATCGTGATGTGGCCGCCGTGGTGGTCCTTGCCGGGGAAGGCAGGAGGGATGTCGCTGTAAGTTCCCTGAAGGACGGGAGCCAATGGTTCGCGGTATTGAGGTGCGCCATCACCTGGGATTAAATTAGCCTGGGCTCAGCTGTAAGGAAAAAGGCGTACAATAAGGCGTTCTACCGAGGGGTTCGTGGTGTCTTTTATGCCGCTGCGTGTTGGCCCAAAACCATGCCAGATAAGGAGATGATGCTTGGTAGGTGGATATGTGACCTTGCCTTTCGCGGCGAGGTCGGGGGTATGATGACTACGGATCTTCAAAGCTTCATCCATGAATAGCTTTAAATTTCTCGAGAGGTGCAAACTCCCGACTTAGAATTTTTCTTGACATGCTGCTGATGAACTCCGAGACAGTGATTCGAAAATCGAACACCAGCGCGTCTAGATTTGTTTGTCCGCTATACGTGAGTAGTGCAATTTGACAGAAGGACAACATCAGACATCGTTGTGCGTAATTCTGTTTTTGGAACATGACTGATGAGGTCACTCTCAGTAAAAAGCGAAGTCAAGAAAAATCATACGAAGTCAGACGTCAGTCAGACGTGTGTCACACGTATGTAATTTTCACGCCAGCCTTCCCTTGACATCAAATGGGAGGTGAGTTTAGTCATAGGTTAGTATCAACATTGTCGTACATTTTATATACATGTCTGTGCCAAGAATTTTCGAAATGGTTCATCTTTTTTTTAAATTTTCTGGTATGCATGTGCTACCTACTTACAGTTACGCGTGTGAACCAAGTGTGAACACCTTCAAAAAAGTTCAAGTCATGAGCTGCAGTTTGTTCAAGTCCGTTGAAACTCCGACGTCATGTTGAATTTTGAATTTCCCAACACGGAAATTCATTGTTCTTCCCTTCCAGCACATTGTCAAGTCAACAAACGGCCTCCTCCCTCAATGAACAGCCTTCTCTTTCCCTCGACGAATGGTCTCCTCACCGAACGCCTCCCCCCTCTCTCGACCAATAGCCTCCTGCCTCTCTCGATGGATGGCCTCCCCTTGGCGAATGGCCTCCTCTCTCAACGGACGGTTTCCCCTCTCGGCGAATGGCCTCCTTCCGCTCTCGATGGACAGCCTGCTCCCTCTCTCAACGGACGGCCTCCTCCCTCCCTTGGCGAACGGCTTCCTCCCTCCCTTGACGAACGGCCTCCTGCCTCCCTCAACGAACGGTCTCGTCCTTCCCTTGGCCGATGGGCTCCCCTCCCTCAACGAACAGCTTTCCCCCTTCCTGACTAACAGCCTCATCCCTCTCTTGACGAACAGCCTCCTCCCTCCCTCGACGAACGGCCTCATCCCTCCCTCAATGAATGGTTCTCGTACTTCCCTCGACGAACGGCCCCCCCCTCCCTCGACGAACGGTCCCTTTCTTCCCTTGATGAACAGTAGTCCCCTCATACTATACTTCGTAGGCTATAGGCCCACTACATGTATTCTTTAAAGTAGTCAAATACAATTTTATTCAGTCTATTTCCTGACCCAAATTGAGCCCAAGCAATCAATGACTGAGATATGACTATTACATGACTAAGATATGACTATTATATGACCAGTACATGACTGTGGCGTAATATATGATTTGCAGTGTGCAACTAATGTATGACTATTGTAATACGAGCGTAGTCAGAAACGCTTAAAAAAAACGACATTTAGTCATACAACCTCAAATTCGTGACTTTCTTCTGACCAACTTCCGACTTCGCTCTTTACTGAGGGTCACTGGTGAAACATTCTTCAAGTCGGAACTTTGCTCGTCACGTTGAAGGATGGATCAAGATTTGTCCGTTGAACAGCCTGTATTCGCAAGCTATGACTAACAAATCCCAAAAGTGAGCGCCGCATGTGGCAGAAGAAGATTGAACACGAAAAAACTCGTGGGATGTCTATGATAGAACGGCGGTTTTACTTACAGGAACGCTTCGGAGCGCCGGCTCCACTCCCCAGACTTCCAGTTCCAGGCTTCTTCTGCTTGGAAGACTTCAAACAGCCAGAGATCTGGGCTAGCATACACCCCTTGCCAACGTTCACGGACGCCAGAATCCAGAATCACATTGTGAAGAAATGGAAAGGCTTGCAGGTTCTCGTAAAAGCGCCGAGAGAATTGGCTGATGACTGGGTGGATGGATTTTGGTGTGAAATACAGTCGAGGGATGTTCTTTACCGTCTGGGGGACCAACATCTGGATGGTCACTACGAGTTGGAACGGGTTTTCTTTCAGAAGAAGTTGGATGAGGGATGGAAAACAGACAAAACGTTAGAATCAAGTGTACTGATTCTCCGCTGGGAGGGTGACGAGGACTTGCTGAAGTAGGCGGCCTTTCATTTTTTGAGCTGTGTACTCGGCCATCCGCCCTTGGCTTTATGTGGTCGTATTTCATATTGTATGAATCGGACAAACCAATCTACCCTTGTCAAGACCCACAACTGTCGAAGTGCCCATAAAAGATAATGTTCAGAAGCATTTCTAGAAGAGAAAAAACGTGATTTTGACAGTTCACAGTTCTTACACTCTGCATCCACAACCTACATGGGGAGGCTCACCGATGAACCACTGTGTATAGGTTTTGAAGTGGAGTTGATCGTCACCCCAATAATGGATCGTCTCCGAGCCAGTGATTCAGGCATAGGAGTTCTCGAGGACGATGACAGGATAACAACCCCGACGTATTTCCACTCAACCCTCCCAATACAAGAAGAGGACGTTTACAGGCCGGACCATCGGTTCCTGGAAGTTGTGGAAAGACTTCTCGAGCGTCTGCCTTTGGACCTTTGGAGGTAGAAAACCCATTGGATCCAGAGGAAGGGGGAAAGCAGGCGTATCGGGGTTGGATTGTCCGTGGGGATCCGTCGTTGAGGCCGTCATCACCAGAACAAGGTAAGATGTTGTCATAATCAACTTGAACTCCAGGCTGACGGAAATTTTAGTGGGTTTTGAATTCTCATCGCCAATTTTTCGAGCGCGGGACGCCCTCTGGTTCGAGCAGATAGAGAGCATATTCACGTCATTGCCAGATTACTTCGAGATCGTCCCTTCAGAGAGATGCGGGACGCACATTCATATCAAGCCCGAAGGAGGTAAATGGAAACTCCCCGCCCCCAAGAAACTTGCCAAAGCCATCATCGTTTTCGCACCGCCATCATGGGACTTTTAGGACCATCGAGAAAAAGCAACGAATTCTGTGCGGACAATCGCGGAGGTCGACATGTCGAGGATATGAGCGGCGGAGACCTTCGATTCGTCTTAGGCCGCATTGAAAGGAAAAAGAAAATCAATACTCTCGTTGAGTACATGTGCCCTGGGCCAGAGAAGGGGCCGCCAGAGCGCAACTACGTTTGGAACCTGACCCATGTCGATGTTCGCCGGTCATGTGGGACTGTCGAATTCAGGGGAGCAGGAATGAGCGGGTCAAAAGGCGAGGTGGAAAAATGGGTTACATTCGTAGTCGGGTTTGTAAGGAGCGCGAATCTCGCGGAGGGCAACTCCTACGACCCGTATGCGGACACAGATCCAACCCGACGTGATCTGCTCGACTTTGTTAGAGGCGGGATTCTTCCTCCAGCACGCCGAAGTCTCCGTCGTTTCAAATCAGATTCACAGGAATAATTTGCGGGGAACCGACGGTCGTTGTTTCAAGTCACTCGCTTTTAAGTCAGTGGATGAAGGTGGGGAGCTGGAGAGCGGCACGGGAGGGTGTATGATAAAGTTGAAATAGTCTCGTTTTTTCTGACAGAAATTAAGACGGAAGATGATGGGGACAGCAAGGTGACAAAATTGATCATATGTTTGACTCAGTGCGATTGTTGTATGTTATTTACATCTAACACAAGCCGAGGCCTCCACCACTCCCCTTGAGGCCGTCCGTGAAGTTTGAACTGGAAAGTACGGGATAAAAAAGGACAGAAATTTGTGACATTATCATTACCACAGGCGATGGCGACGCGAGGGAAATGCACGGCTAGAATATGTTGGGAGCGCGTCGACCTCTGAATCCTGATCGTGTTATGTACTGCACTTACCACTCAGGAATGCCAGTTACCACTCGGGAATGCGCAACGCTCCGCTGTTGTGCGCGAATTAGCCCGGACAGGTTTGCCGAGTTTCCAACCTGCCCCCGTCGCTGGGTACCACTATTCATTAAGGGTCTCGTACAGTCTCGAATATATCATGAAGATATGTATAGACCGACCGCCCTGTCATCAATGTTCACTGCATGCTCTTCGGTAATCTGTAAATTATAACCATGTCAACTAAATTATTTCATGTGTTCCTGTAATTGACCCCAGAAAAACAGATGGGCCGATTATTACATTTTGACTTCAGTCACCTCCACCTTTCCAGGTCGGTGCGTCTTCTCATAGTTTTTGACATAATCAGGGGACTTGGTGTACGCCCTTCCGCTACCATCGTTTCTGCCTCGCTGAGGTGTGGGCACTGAGTACCTAGACTCTGTATCAGCATACTCGGGCGATTGCTTGTAGGTCGACATCGTGATGTGGGCGCCGTGGTGGTCCTTGCCGGGGAAGGCGGGGGGGATGTCGCCGTAAGTTCCGTGAAGGACGGGGGCCAATGGTTCGCCAGGTACAGGCTTCTTATTGGCGTGCGCCATCACTTGCTCGTCTTGGGATTCAATTAGCCTAGGCTCAGCTGCAAGGAAAGAGACGTACAATAAGGCGTTCTACCGAGAGATTCTTGATGTCTTTTATTCCGCTGCATGTTCGCCCAAAACCCTGCCAGAGTGACTGCGACGATAGTTCCGCCAATCAAGAAGGTCTGGAAGGAAGGTAAGTATTGACTCATAGCGGGAAATGCGGTTTCATACTCGTCCAAACCTAGACGGCGGGGAGGTGGGAATCATACCAGCCATGAATTCAATAAGTTAAAAGTTGAGGTTGTTGTTGTGGTTGTAAAGAGAGGAGGGCTTTGACAATGCATTGAGGTGATTCAGATTTCTGAATGTGATGACGTCAGATCGGGAGGAGAAGCGCTATTTGCCACGAAATAATCATATTCAGTTCATTTTTGTTCTGTTTTAGCTGTGTTCAAATCCGAACTTTGGATAGGATACGTTATTCCTGATGGATTGTATAGGCAACAGATAAAAGAGAACGAGGAGGAGAATAACCTACTATTTTGATAGTCATCCAGCTCTCCCTTCCGCTTCTCTGAGATTCTCCGTTTTGCGAGGTAAAATGTCACTCCGGCCACGAGCAGCACCCCAGTAAAGCCCGCACCCTAAAACACGATCATTCAAGTGAGGTTTAGGTGGTTGTATGAGGAAATTAAGAAGAGAGGGTTCTTGCCATTCGTTTCGGTGTGTCGAGCTTAAAATCGGCCATTTTCAAACTGCGTTTGGCCAAATTCTCGTTTCTAGTGGATTCGGGAGAAGCCTGACAGGTGTCCAGAGAATTAGTGGTGTTCGTAGATAAGAGCGGTTGGACATACACGCTTCGTGGGAACGTTGCGCCCACTCGTTTACTTCAACTTTCGAAGTCGACACAAGCTTCATTGACTGATCCACTATGCTATTGAAGGATTGCCTCCCTACTTTCGAATCTCTCGCGCCATCTCCCTTTCTCCTTGGAACTTCACAATTCAATCCATCGAGTGGCTTCCGCACCCCAAATGATCACACTTGACAACCTTGACCCTTGGCATCTCTTACACCTCGCCCTTCTATCTTCATTTCCATGGGTTTATTCGACTGTCCGACCAGCTCGATCTCAAGCTCGCCTCGGCCATCATGCCCACCAGTATCCAAACCTTCTTACCTCTCAGTGGATACGAGGAAGTGTTGGAGCGAAAAGCACCAGTAATGTGGTGCATGTGTAGATTCTGTGCAGGAGTGACAATATTTTCGAATTCATTCAGGATCGTGGACGGACACCTTTTTGCTCTACAACCCTTCGTAAACTCTGATACAATTCTACCGTCTCCGAGAAGGGCGGCCCTTGCCGCCTCTCGGCAGCTGCGCACGCGCTGCCACATTGCCGTCAATCCGATATTAATCTTTTGTTGACATCGATGAAAAACCAGTATCGATGGCGATTGAGGTACCAATGTTCCGTGCGGACTCCTTCGAGGATACCAGTTACGCAATTTTCTTTGTTGCAGAGGTCCTTGGGGATATTCAGGAGAAGGAAAACCGAGGCCCATCATGTTCCAGCTGCCCCGTGTTTGACGGACAGACGAACTGCGTTGTATCTTGTATCTGGTGTGCGCAGACCCAGGAGTACACAGGTCGGTAATCACAGCGGAGTAAATCCGGCTTCCAGGCTACTGACTCGTCTTCCACCTCCCCCCCTTGCAGAGTCACAGTAAGCAAGGGCCAACACTGGCACACCCAGGGTGGTAACACAAGAACGGCGACCATCACTGTCTTTTTCCGCTGCGGGTAGTTACTACTAAGCCCAAACCAAGCCTGGGCCTCTCTCGCCATCTGGATGCGAGCCTCACGATTTTATCTGGCACAAAATTTGTTTATATGGTGCTACGTCCTTGTGTTTTTTCAAAATGAAAACTCAACCTGCCTTGCCAACGCGAAGCTCTTATCCATGAATTTTGTCTCTCCCCACGCCCCCTAAGCAGGTGCAGCAGCTACTTCATGTGGACATCCCGCCAAGAAGCTTGTGCCTTTTTACCTCGGTAGCGTTGCTACCATGCGTACCTCAATGGTCTACTCTCGCCGATATCGAGGGATCAATTCCCCTTTTATCATGGTACTTCACAAAGGTGCAGGGGAACGGAACTACCACAAGTACTTGTCCTAAGCTGTCTTAAGCAGTATTCTTGGGTCGGAAGGCTCGCTGCGCTGAAAACCTGGGTAAATTTTGCTGATGAAGTTTGCGGACGCCAGCGGCCAAGTTATTACTTACAGTCTTAGTCGCTAAAATTAGAAACGATCTTATCGGTGGTTATTATTTTTAGTATTTCAGTTGTCCAATGTCAAACCCTTGTGGAGTTGACCTACCGAATTCGAATTGATACTGACTAGCGCTTCGTGTTTTCCACGAGAAAGGGTGTACTGATGTCACATCTACTTCCACTGATCATAAGGCGCGATAAACGTTGGGGCAATGACATCGACTGCCAGGTGTAAGCTAAAGAACTTCCAAAGCCTCGTTTTGCTGACATCACCTTACACATAGCATCCTTACTGCGTTAGTTCGGTTTGTTCATGTTTCAAACCTAGATCAGTCAAGCTGAACCGCCCAGATCCTCGTCAGATCCATCTTGATTTCATGTTGATTCACCGATGGGCCGCAAGTATAAAGTCCTTGTCCCTCCCTCGCCATCTTCCCATCTATATATCTCCACATGCTTGGTCCATCATCACCTTCCACGTCGTCTACCCACTATTTGCCAACACCAATGTCAAGCGCAGTCATTGGCCACTCCACAAAGATCTGGGAGCTGAACGTCCATTGGCCGTTGTACAGCCAGTGCGCGGTATGGGATCCTAGAAGAAGAGGCGTCGACATCTGGGAATGTGTTCGGGATCGTGCGTCCAAATCTTGACTGTTGTTTTCTTCAATTCACTGATTCTTTGTTATGAAGATGACTCAACTCCGAGTACACAGGTTTGATCTCGTGGCCATTTCATTTGAATATTGACGTCTAACAAAACGCCTTCAGCCTCCCAATGCTACGTACTGGAGGTATATCGCGCGAAGATGATTTGCGCCCAACAAAATCTCTTGACTCTGGTGCAGAATGGCATGCATCCTCTCGTGGCTATGCGATCCGGACTCCATCTCCACATAGCGCCATCTTCATCCAGCCCTGTTTATTTATTGGCACCTTGGCCCAAACCGCCACCGGGCTTATCGCATTGCGTTCAATAGGCATCTGCCATTTGCGATAAAAGCTTCCCATGCAACAGTCTCCAGGGAGACAAATGCATACTCATGACGGGCCTTACATTTCGAAAGTGGGTAAACGTTGAACAGTGACTTAGGACCACTTCGTTACTCATACTTTCTCTCGTATCTACGATACTCATAATTTACATCGGGCTATTATACTATATACTATACCATAGAACAGTAATTAGTACAAGCTCTCTTCAGAAAATACGATCAGCGAATGGTGACGTCGAGATGACGTCGTCGCCGCGTCACTTGTAGCGGTACATTCATACCTATCGTAGCTTACAGGTATACTTATGCCCGTCCCTGACTTTATTGACGACCGATAACCATAAGCAACAAAATATCATCTGCCAGTGGTACTGGGATCCTGTTGCGGAGCCGACTCGGACGAGAGAGACATGTGGTCATCTAAACAAGCTGCTATTCACTCGAGGCCTTGGCTCACCGGGAGAACCATGCGCAGGTAGCGCTCTTCAGCAGACATCTGACTCTGGAAGTCCAAATCAGAACTTATGGGGTCTTCAAACTAAGCGAGAATTTGCGTTGACAGAACCCCGTTTCAAGACTGCCAGAAGACTGAATCATTTGAATTCGTTGTGCCTATCAGCGCCAGCTCAAAGGGGGCTCACAGCCTTGCCATTCCCGCGACAAGTTCGCGCTGCTTTGCACAATCCGGGGCTTGTGAATGATTTGCTCGGAGAACATTTTGTGGGTGTGTCAACCTAGGGTAAGCTTGCCGTAGGAGTTTGCGCTTCGTATCGGGATATATATCCTCATGATCGACTCGAAACCTATCGGAGGCAGGTAATCTAGCGCATGAGATTGTCTTCGTGGAGCCCATGAATATGGAAATTTAGCGTGCGCTTGAGGAGTGTCCCCGAACTTGAAAGCATCACTGCGCAAAATTCCCATCGTCTCGAAGGAGACAGATCATTGAGGGTTGTCTGCTGATGAGTGTTCATCGCATTTTTTCTGGGTTAATGAGATCGTCGGTGAATCGGAAATCATCTCACCGGCGCAGGAAGCCCCAGGAAGCTATGCAACCAGGCTTTTGAGTTCGCGTCGACCCTGGCCTATCGTATCGGAAAGCGTTGACTAGTCAGTGGCGTAAAGATTGATGTTGCCAAACGTCAAGATCTGACGCGATGGTATTCTTAAGGCCTTGAGGCTTGAGCGTCAGAAAGATATTCGGGTCGACAAGTTCACGTCTTGTCACATGATTTAAATTGGACGCGACAGTGCACGTGATAAAGACGCGTTCTGCTCTTTACCCCAGAAATCTGGACCCGCCATTATATCTCAAACACAATACAAGGCATGACATCACCTGAGTTATTTTCTATATAAATGGAGGGTTGCAAATGAAAATTTCCTGCACCGAAGAACGACACTATGATCGCCTCTCACATCAGACGTAATCTCGCTGCGGGGGGAAACAAGATGTTCAATAGCGACTCGGGGAAGAATAACACCATGGCGAGCTCTTGAAAATTTGCCCGATTTCTTACAATGTTAATAATCATATATCAGCTCCTGGCTGCTGGTGGGCTGGCGGTGTTGACCGGCCTAGTATACTGGGCTGGGTACGCTGCAGAAGGAAGCCGTCCCCATTCATCGAGTGAGTTCCCGCGCATCCCGGAATGTTTTTTTCTTTACAGGTCTCTAGAAATCACTGTGGAGAAAAAGTGAGCAACCGAGAGTGAAAAAAAAGGTTGACGGATATCGGGAGTGTTTGTACCATAGTGTATATTATTTTGTACCAGTATTTTTGAATGATTCCCTTGTTGCTTTTGTCTTGGCTACGAAGCTGCCAATGCGTTGTGGCCGCGATGTCGGTCGCCGCTCTAGATAGTAATTGGTTGACCTTTGAATCCGGTAATTAAATTACGAGACTCACAGGCGTTGAACCCAATTCCAGCTTTTCTACACATCCGTCAGTTACTGGTCTCTTAGTCTCTCCTAGACAGACTTCGATATTATGTGAAGTCGTACCTTTGTTCACGATAATATGAACTGGTCTCTCCGATGCTAATCATTCATCTTAGCCTATCGGAGGCTTTGAAATTTGAATCGTCAACGGAGGGAACTAGATGGGACATTGAGATTCGGGACAGACAAGTATCCACAGATCCGAACTCCAAGGTTAGCACCGCAATCATTTCAGATTTTGACTGCACCTTTAGGCTTTGCTGCACCTTCGCAAGAATCGCAACATCGCGACAAAAGGAGTCGGTTTGAGCGCGGTCACGTGCCTTTGTCAAGTGGCAATTGCCAACAAACAGAACTGTGACTTCAAGTTCTTCACTCATTCTTATGCCCTCAGGCTGCTCGAATCCCCATCGAACGTTGAATGTCCTTGCTGTTTGATAAACCGATTACCAGCTATTTCCCTCGTGTTCATAAAGAAGTGCATAAAGAAAATCGACCGGTCCATAAACGAAAACGTTCTGCAGAGAGGCAATGCGACAACGCGTTGGACGGGGGAAAAGGTGTAGAAAGAGAGGAGAGACGTAAACCTCTTCGCGACGCTCGGCTTAAAGATACAGGTAGCATCGCCGTTGGTGACGAGACACCAACGTGCCCATCGAGCTCTGAAGTTTCTCCAACTTCTGGTGTAAAACACACTCGCAGTTTCCTGAAGACGCCTCCCCCTACAGATCCTCCCAAAAAGCGGCGTAAGCTCCAACAAACTCCGCAGACGCTCTCCTCTGCCTCGCCATTTGAACGGTTTGATTATAAAGCTGTTGCATCGCTGCCCACTCCGCTCACAGTGGCCCGATTGCCGAGAACAGGCCCACCGGTACATTCGGATGTCGTCCTATATACCCCTTGCAACCGATTCTCTGTTGAGAATTTGAACACTGCACAAATCAACAAAGATATTGTGGACTATGAGGTCAAACCCGATGAATCTCCTCGTCAGCGGTCTCACTCGGTTATACCCTCGTCTCAAAGTCAGTATCAGGATGCAGATGGATTTCAGAATCTCCTCAACGGAATTTTATCTCCTGACTTCTGTCCATCACCCACCCTTCACCCTATCAATCGGGGAGCAGGAATAGCTCCTTGGAACTTGTCACTTCCAGGAATAGACGCGGCTGCTGAGTTGATCGACACAGATGCAGTCGGTTCATCCCAAAGTCAACCCTTGTTGACGAACCGCGGTTATTTCGGGAACGCTCTTTCTCGCTCTTCAATTGTTGATTTCGTACCGAGCTCTCAGAGCCAGGAGAAAGAGCTCACTGTCGGTACCTCCATCTCTATAATTATCCCAACCAGAAGCCTGCAAATCGAGAAAGATGGAGTGACTTCAAAGTGAGTTCTCATTCTTTATTCCCCAGTTTAACTTCATATCGATCCTGAAGCCCATTTCATAGAAGCACTATACGAAAACCTTACCGTCGTGCTGCTAATTTACCTCAGCGGACAGCTTCCGACGACCTTTTTTGCGTTCCTATCCAGGAGACAAATTTCTCAGATATTTTCCAAGATGATGAAAGTCATTCGGTGGCGATAACGGATGAGACAGCTTTAACGGGGCTACCACCAGTTCCACAGGATGTTGATGAATCCTGCACCGAGTCCGAGTCCGAGGTTGAGGTTGAAGGACCCACAGCAGCTTCATATCGCTTCGGCAGCATCCATGAGAGCTTTGCCTGTGACGCAACCCAGGAGAGAGAGATTTCTGGTGCACTTGTCGGGTCCGTGGACAATATGAGCTCCACAGAGTCGCTTCCCTCTGCGGTTAAGGATTTCCAAGGGATGTTTGGGAATGACGAAGAAAGCTACCCCGCCGATTTCCCCATGTCGCTAAGATGATGGCGTACATCCAAGATGCAAACCCTTGTTATTTCTGTATATATTTACAGCAAGGAGCAGCCTACTCGACAGGCAGGATCGCTTGTTGGCACACACGTCCTGCCAGGACACACAAGATTCGTTGGCGGGGCCGGTTGCGCCGATCACTTGATTATAGATACCAAGATAGGACCTTGAGTGGTAGTCAGTTGTATATACATTAGCACCTATGCATAGCTCACCTGAAATAGAGAGTTACATATCAGCCTCGAAAAGTGATAAAAGTGATATGTGGAGTCACGATGTGCGAGTTCGATCAGCTTCGACAATGTAAAAGCCTTCCATTGTGCGCGAGGCATGCTTCAACAACGCTTGGCCAGTACTATCTTCCTTCGGAGATGACTCGATTCCCTGTTGCGTATCACTTCTATCTGTGTCCTCTCTCTCCCCGCGTCCCATAACCACAACTCCGTCCGTGTTGATCAATTTGACTGCCTCCACGAGTCTAACCATCTCCTCCATCTGCCGCGTTATCTTCTCATGTTCGATTGTGCCCTCCGTTGGCGGTATCAGAGCAGAGAGTTCGTATAGGTGTTTGAGCGTTTGTGGCGGTATTTTTGGTGTCGAGTACGAGGTCAGCAGCTCGTTTACAGACCAAGTGGGTTGGATCGGTATACCGCATTCATCGGTTTCTGTAGTGGAGCCGGAGGACTTATACCTAGGACGTGGAGAGCTGAATAGGGACCTCGGAAGTCGTTGCAGACATAACCGAATACATGACATGGTGGAGGGGTGAGGAGGTGGAACCTCAGTCGAGTTTAACTCGAAAACTTCTCAGGACCCTGGATGATAACTCAAACTCTCTCCAAAGCGTCACTCTAATACTATCTAGCTCCAGTATACGTTAGGTGAGAAATGAAGTCATCATCACTATCGAGAATGTAAAAAATCTACGAGATCTCGATGTCCTTCTCTTGATTAATCTTGGATTGGTCGATCACATATGATAGCATCGAGGTATTCTCGTTGCACCTGAAATGACGCTTGTCAGAACCCAGTACGACACAACAAGTAACCCAGACGACCCACAATTTTGATAAGGTATGCTCAAACTCTCCTAGTCCCTTTTGTAGCACCCTAAAGACGCTCGCATGCTCCCCAGACCGATCTCTCAGGAGACGGCCATGAGCCATCAACAGCGTATTGGCCCAGATAAGGTCGAACTCCAAATGCGGGCTTTTGTCGAGGTGATCGGCCACAAATCGGAGCAGTGGGGGCACATATATCACAGGAAGCTGCCGAGCGACGAGGCGGATATCACCACGAGGAACGTTTTCGTATACGCGCCGGATAAGTGGTTTTTCGTTCAACCTAAACGCCATGACCAGGGATTTGAGATACTCGTTTGCTGCTAACATCTTCAGAACAGACTGCGGCGTGAGGTCGATGGAGAGATCGAACGGGTCAAAAGTAACGGTCTCGTCCAGGGAATATATCAAGAGGCCTTCTGTAGATGCAGCTGCCCATGTACGGCCCGTTGGAGAAAAGCGAACACATTTCGTCCTTGCTTCTTGCCGATAACGACGGATGGACATGTCTCCTGCACCTCTACTAGCTCCTGGGAGGCTAAGATCCAATCTATCTTCTAGATCGCTTGCTTCTCGGTTATCAATGAGGTCAGTGTTGATCCCAGCCTCGTTGACCTTCCGACTGTCCAGAAACTCCTCCGTGCCATCCAGCGAGAGGTTCTGAGAGATTTGGAATTTCTTCACCATCACACCTTCCCCTTCTCGTACGTCGTATAGTACGACGTATTTGCTATTCCCGCCAGCAAGGACACAACGGCCATCAGCGGTGTACGCGAGGCTGTTGTATGCTTTTCCAGATGTGCTATTCGCAGCTGTGACGCGATCATCGGCTTTCCGCCCTCCAGAAACGTCTTTGCGGCCGTCAATCACATTCGTTTGTTTGCTATCCTGGATGTCGAAAAACGTGATCTGCCCATCCAAAGTTGACACTGCCAGCTCCTTCCCATCGGGACGGAAAGCCAAGGCAAGCACATCTGAAGTCAACGTGAATGGCTCCACGGCTCTTGACCTTCCAAATACATTCCAAACCCGTACCGTTCGATCCCACGACGCACTGGCGAGCTGATTGTTGCCGGAGGGTGAAAACGCGAGCGAACTTATAGGTCCTTCGTGTCCAGTGAGGATGTCGAGAAGTTTTCCCGTTTGTACCGACCATAGAAACACCTCAAAAGAATCCGTCGAACCCGCTGCTACCACCTCACCAGATGGATCCACTGCAAGGCAAGAAAACTGCACCGGAGAAGGGGACGTGAATGTGCGGAAATTACGATATCGAATGAGATCGTATGCACGAACTGTGCCGTCAAGAGACGCCGTGAAGAGAACGCTGCCTTGTTTTGCAAAGGCAACGTCGGAGACGGGCGCACTATGTTCTGTAAAAGTTACAAAGCAGAACCCAGTGTATGTTGACCACACTTTAACTTTTCCATCGTCTCCTCCGGTGGCTATTGTTTGACCATCGGGAGCATATGAAAGTGTGTTCATATCGAAATAATGGCCTTGCTGTTTCAGGATGTACGATTCGGACTGCCATTCCCAGACGAGTAGCTGCCCGAGCTTGCGTGCTCCAAAAGCGAGCCACTCTCCAGAGGAATTGATCGCCACCGAGGATATCTTCTCCTGGGATATACTTAAAGTGTGAATATTGGAAAAAGCGGGCATTTCCCAAAGGCCAAAAACTCCCGTAGAGAACCCGACCACCAGGAGGCTGGAGGCGGAATGGAACGTTGTGCACACGACCTTGGTATTCGCCTGATTAAAATAGTGTCGTTTGTGAACACCCCAACGAGTATTAGCGACACTATTGAATGTGTCGGCTGCGGTGTCGTTGGAAGTGGATGCAATAGGTCCCTCGTCGTCTGAATCTTCATCCATTTGGTCGTCTTTTGCCTTCCAGGTAAAAACGGCACCATCACGGCTGACGGTATATATCTGATTATATCATCTGAGTCTTTTGGTGAGAGTAGAGCTCTGCTGACTTACTGTCGTCCCATCCGATGAAAAGTAGGCACCCAACACAGCGTCTTTGTGCCCAGCAAACGTCTTTGGTCTGAATCCTGCAACAGGGTTCAAAGTAAACAACCTCGCCGTCATATCTCGTGACGTGGTCATGAAACATCTTGATTCTTATTCAGAAGCGCATTCGCAGAGACAAGACGAGACATACTTTGAATCTGGGGACCACTCAACGCTAAGAACTTCGTCGTGATGACCGGTATATGTCCTGTGAAGGTTGAAGGGAGCGAATTCGCGAACAAGATGGTTTGGGGTGCGCCAAACTTGAACATGAGGACCGTGAGTGACAGCAATGTATCTTAATGGCTGTTAGCGTAAAGATATCGGTCAAGCTGAAGTACTTACTGTCCGTCGGGCGAGAACTTGATATCTTTCACAGCCTTGTGGAAGTTGAAGTGATGTAGTACGACCCCGCGCCTTGCATTCACCAAAAGGGCGCGCCCATCTATGAAAAAAAAAGTCAGAACCCGGTATGATAAAAAGTACTCTAACGCACCTTCATCCACCGAGACGAGAACGTTTCCATCTGGGCTTAGAGCTAAGGCTGATATGTTTTTGCGGTTTTCAAAAGCAAACGTGAAAGACTTGTTGCTAGTAGAGAACGGCTTGAAAAATAGTCGACGAAAGGACAGGCTGGGACACACTTGACAAGATCGAACACAGAAACCCGATTTCCGACAGGACTGTAGAGCGAATTTCCATCTGGCGTAAATAAGATATTCCCTTGTCTGTAAACTGTCCCACAAATGTTCGAAAACTAGATCAGAATTTAGCGATATAGCTACAGATTGCAACGAAATTGGCGGCTTACCTTGTAGTTGGCCTTCATTTTTCGACGACACCGCCACCGATTGATCAGATTTTGTCATGGTGCAATCACTGTCAAACAAGATCTTATCTGCGGATATGGGCAAGCGTCGCGACGTCTCATCCCGCTTTCCCTATCAGACGTGTTAGCAGATGCACCCCAAGGACGAGTCAAGAAACAGCCATATGTTGAGCCACCCTGAACGTTGAACGTAACCCTCAGCTCGAGGCTTGGCTTGAACGGGCTCCAACTTATTGCAGTGACATAAATCTCATCAGATGGTCAACAGGTGGTGGACCACGGTGCCGACCTCTTGACTCATTTTCAGGCACTCACGACGTCGCGTGGCTACAGTGGAAAACATAAAGAGCAAGCGGAATAGCTGCAAGTCTCTCAGAACCCCCCAATGACGACCTACATCCAAGCAAAATGCCACTGCGGCCTCAACTCGTTCAAAATCGCGTTCAAAACCTCGGACCTGCCGCTGTCAACGGCCGCGTGTCACTGCAACTCGTGCCGCCATACCACAGGCCAGATGTTGGTTATCGATGTCCCCATCCATGGGGTACCACTCTCCTCCACGGCTGAGGGTGATGCCGCAGCGAGCCTTGAAGGCCTGACGGCATATAAGTCGTCGAAGGACATGACGCGATACTTTTGCACAAAGTGTTCCGCCTACTTCTTCTTCCATAACGGCATTCATGACGTCTGGGCCGTGTTTGCTGGCGTGCTGGAGAAGGTGGACGAGGTTCTGAATGTTAAGAGTCACATTTGGGTTGAGGATACCCTGGATGGAGGGATCGCAGACCATTACCGTACCGTGAACGACGTCGTGCTTCCCAGATACGCACAGCGTGCAACCAGCGAGACGCTCCCCCTCGGGTGGAAGGCAAAAGAGTTGGCTATGAAAGCTGACACTGAGACCCATCCGCTCCACTGCCACTGCAAGGCCATCTCCCTCGCGCTCACTCGCACTACTGAGATAAAGGATCCAAAGGATTATTGGCTCGTACCCGGCAAAGAAGAAGGCGCACCGATACGCTTCATCGCCGCACACTGCTTTTGCAGTGATTGCAGGTTGTCCAGTGGATCTCAGATTCAGAGTTGGGTGATCGTTCCGCGCGTGAATGTAATAGATGCGAGCACTTCTGCCTCAGTCGACCCCGAAAACGCGGCAGCTAGACCCAAAGGGTTGAAGCAGTACGAGTCTAGCCCAGGGAAGTTCCGCGAGTTCTGTGGCACGTGTGGTGCTACTGTGTTTTGGTGGCGGGAGGGCGTATCACATTTCGACCTCTCCGCTGGGTTGGTTGATCAGGAGGCTGGAGGGGCTAGGGCCGAGAAATGGTTGTCTTGGTACGACAGAATCATTCACCCAAAGGATGCGATCAGCCCAGCCACTTTGGCTGCGTTGACCGAGGGTGTGAAGGCGGCAAAGGCTGAAGAAGTTTGACAGCGCACATTTGATTCCGAATTTGTATAAGTAGACCATGTTACTTTTCTGTGGTGATTACGAGAAATCCAGCTCAATCCTCCTCTTCCGCCTTTGCCTTGTTCGTCTCTTTTTCCTTGTCCTTTTGCTTTTTCTTCCGCTGCTCCTTCCGCTTCGGTTTCTTCTTAGAAACGGCCATATCACTACCAGCTTCCGCCTTCTTCAACCCCAACATACTCTCATTCACTAAACACGAGACTTGTTCAGCAAAATGATCCAAAGTCACACAAGAACGACTCACGTTCACCCGCAAGGAGATCATCCACAATAGGTCTGCTTCCTGAGGTAATATAACGCGTCGAAATGCCTTTCGCGATGAGCGGCTGGGAAAGGAGTCGTTTAAGTTCAGCTTTCAATGCACCCATCTTCGCATCTTTCGCTTTTCGTTTCTGATTTGATAGTTTAGTTTCGTCATCCGAGTCGCTGAACAAGAACAACAGATATAAGCACATTATGAACCTGAAGAGAAGACAAACGAATGGCAGTACCTGATAAAATCAGAATCCAGGTCTACCCCAAGCGCTTCCGCAGTCTCTTGCATCCAATTCCGGTCGTGGTTCGTTTTCTTGATCTTATGCTGGGTGTTCTCTATCTGCTTCGCAAGCTGAACTCGCGCTTTCAGTTTATCCAGCATGCTAAGCTCAATCGCCATTTCCGGGATTTCGTTTTCCTCTATTCCCACCTCCACATTAATGCTCGAAAGAAGGAGCGAATACACAATGAGACTGACCTCGATTCAAACTTCCCAGGAGCGCTTTCACGAGCCTCCTTTCGTCCGGGGCACACATCAGCATGCTGAACCCTTTGCGCATCGCACGCGCCGTGCGTCCGTTTCTATGAATATAGGTATCGGCTGAACGAGGTATCTGGAAGTGAATAACGTGGTCGACCGCGGGTATATCAAGGCCACGTGCAGCAATGTCGGTAGCGAGCAAGACCGAATTTGCAGTATTTTTGAACCTGAAGTTGCTTGATGTGTCAATGAAAATCTGAAAGACGAAAGTGGAACAGACCTGTCGAGGTTTTTCAGACGTTGACGCTGTTCCAGCTGGGAATGTAGGGGGAACGCTTTCACGTTCAGAAGCTCGACCAACGGCATCAGTCTTCGGATGCCGTCGATCGAGGATAGAAAAACGAGGGATCGGCCGGGGTATCGTAGCAAGAAGTAATAGAGATAAACGTCCTGTAGACGAAAGCTTAAGCAGAGTAATATATGAGAGGGTAAGGGAGAGCGTCAACCTTGTCGGCAGATAAACAATCAATTCTGCCTTCTTGCAAAGTCGACACCAAACCACCTACAGGACTGAGATCAATTACTTCAGGGTCTGGGTCCCGAAAGTCGAGACGGAGGAGAAGGTCGTCTATAAGTATCCCAGTAAGACATTATTGACAGAAGAATTGAACAGCGAGATATACCAAGCGTTGATGCAGGTGCCTCGTTCCGCTTATAATGTTTCTTGCTACCCTTTGATTTAGAGCGTTTCTTAAGATTGCGTTGGAGGTCTTTGCTCAAAGTTGCCGAGAAGACGAATGTCTGGAGGTCGTCCTTCTTGATTCCTTCTTTTGAGTCCTCTTCTTCCACATGGATTGGTTCGCCATCGTCGTTGAACTCTGTGGGGATTTGATCTTCCCTGCATCAAAAAGGTCGGCAAAACGCATTAAAAGACAACAATAAATGACGCACGCAGATTCCCGAAGGGTCAGACGAAGAATATTCTCAAGTTCAGCAAAATGACCAGCTTCGATCATCCTATCTGCCTCATCAAGAACCAAAAAACGAATGTTCTTTATTTCCCGGGCGAGTGTGTCATCCTAGATATAAATATTTAAGCAAGATTGAGTATGGTTTGGAAAAGCTGCACCAACGTCTTCCATTAGATCCCAAAGACGCCCTGGGGTGGCTATAAGGACGTCGACACCTCTATCCAGTATCCGTCGTTGCTTCTGGGAAGACATTCCACCAACAATGGCAGCGACGCTAACATGTGGGGGCGGCTTCTTTGCGGGTGTCTTACCATCCGTCGTTGCAGGCTTTGATGAATTTTTTACCGTCTTCTCTGACGAGAAGTCTTCTAAATGATTCAGCAATGCGTTAAGATGCGAGGAGACCTGCAACGCCAATTCTCGCGTCGGCGCAAGAACTAGAGCACGAAGGGGTCGTTTGGTTTTCGGCGAAGGCTTGGGTTGCGAGAGTATGTGGTGCAGGATAGGTAGTCCATATGCTAGCGTTTTTCCAGAACCCTAGAGTCATCGTTAAAAACGTGAAGTACGCCGACAAATAATCTGACCGTCTGTGCAACGCCGATAACGTCTCTTCCGGCAAGGGCCATGGGTAATGCGGCCTCTTGAATTGGTGTTGGTGAAAGGAAAGACTTCGCGTGTAATGCTCTTGAGAGCTGGGGGTGCAAGGAGTACTTGTGCCAGTTAGGAAGCAAGTTCTCCGCTACATATGGTTTCAGCAAGAGGGAAAATGGTGTAACTCGATGGCTTACAGTCAAAAGCCAGAATCTCATCAACAAGTATAGGTGAATCATCGCGTTCTTCGTCACTTTTGTGTTCTACCTCCTGCTCGGCTGCATCGTCGTCTGATTTGTTTGCAAGGACCTTACTCGTTATAAGGAATGAGGTTTTGTCGAGGTATAGCGTCAAAGCCTTACATTGAATCTTGCAACCCGGCCGCCATCCGTAGTTTCGTAGACAACTTCTACACCCTCCACCTCTTCAAGCTCCATGATTCCTTCGTCACCTCCCATTCCCGCTTCAAAGGGTCTGGCAACAGTCTTCCAGGGTAGCTCATCCGCGTTTCGATGTTCGATCTTTGGTTTTTTTCTAGACGACGAATTTGCAAGATGAAGCTTGCGTTTCGAGTTGGGCTGTGCGGATGGCATTGTCGGGTAACGACTGTATTATGGAACGGAGCAAGGTACGGAGAAAAAAGTTATTGGATTTAGATAGATCTCGATTTGATTTGTGGTTGCTTGGCAATAAGTCAAAAGTCAAGTTGTCGATGCGCTTATACCAAGCTTATACCCACTGGCCCAATCCCACTGGATACCCACCACAGAGATACCTCAGGTATACTTATTACTGACCGTTTTCTTCTACAAGTCTCAAAATTCAGCAAACTGGCAATCTGGACGGCGTTGAAAGGTGTCCTCGCAAGAGGTCCGACACGTCGACACTTATTGTGTTCCCTAAAGCTACCCGTATTCTCCAATGACAATCGCCGCGAAACCAACTTCCCAATCCCAGGCGACGCAGATGTGTCCGCGTCGGTGGTGCTCCCAACTGAGATTTGGCGCAGGATTCTAGCGTATACAATCAGGCTATCCGGTTCATGTGCTTGCGACCTCGAAGATCCCTTCGCAGCTCCTTACATGAACGAAGAATACCCAGAGGTGGACCCAGGGATCTTTGAGGACCGCAAATCGCTTTCGTTGGTTTGTTCAGCGTGGCGCGCCATGGTCATCGAAATAGTGGCCGAATACATCGTCATCTACTCTGGCAAAGAACTCACCGCGATTCTCAAGCAATTCGAGGCCAGCAAAACCTCAGGTGGAAAAGGCTTGGGTGATTGGACTCGTCGCATCGATCTTAAAATCCTTGGTTCCTATTCAGTCCAACATGTTGTTCGCCTCCTCCGATGCACGCCCAATCTCGTCATTTATGTCAACAAGAATGGGCTTATCACTTCTCCGGAAAAACGTGCACCCCCGGAAATCCTTCACGCACTCGTTAAACACTGCGGTCCCAGCCTCCGTCGGATTGAATGGAGCGGACCAGGGGAGGCACCCACCTACACTGACCTCCTTGATATATCCCAAGGAGTATCTAATCTCGAAACGCTACGCCTCCTTTGTATATACTCCTACCCCACACGCAAAGATGGCAGACTTCCTCTACTCATCTTCCCAAAACTCAAAACGCTATCACTGGGCTTGATCCCTGAACCCAGCAATACTCATGTAGACAATCCCACACAACACCAACACTACCCAATAACATGGGATCCCCTTTTCGCATACCTCACTCTCAACCCAACCCAGCTGCCTTCTCTCGAACGGCTGGAAACCGACATTTTCCCGATTGCCACAATATCCTTCTTCAGCATGCATGGCGAAAAACTCCGCCTTTTCCGCACGACTACCTGGTCTGCGGAGTCCGTGCTTCCTGACGCACTCGCCCTCTGTCCTAAACTTCAGAGCCTCGTGTTATCGCATAGCAGCGATCCATTGGCTTTCCCTCCCTTCCACCCATCAATCACCCGGATATGTATCCTACCATCTGTAGAGGAACATGTCCGGGTGCCTCAGCGGGTATTCACGTTTGCTGTACTGGCGCCTTTGGATGCCCTGTTGATGTCTGTTGAGAACATGGTTGCGCCGGGGTTGGTGGAGCTGAGGATAAGAAACGTGGGCGCGTTCGTGGACCTCGTTGATCATTCGGGATGGCTTCGGGCTTGGTGGAGGAGGTGGAATCTCCGTGGTGTTCATTTCCGAGACAAAACTGGGAAATCATTCGAGAACATAGCCGATGGTATGTTTTTACCCCTCCCTTCGTGACCACAGAAGTTTGACTTTGCTCATAGAGGATGAACTTTTACTTGACCTCGTCCGAGAATGAGGTCGGCTGTTTTTTTCTTCTTTCAAGTCGCATACTCTACTGTATATATCATTCATCGTAGCTGTAAACATTATTTTGGTAATTTAATCGTGTTTTGAATTCCAGGCTGCCAGATATATTAGCTATACGAAATACAGGGGGACGCGCAGATCAACCATAAGTCTAAGTTTAAGTAAGTGGTAGGTAACAGAGCCACAGGTACAAAATCGGGCAGGAGAACGAACCGTTGCACAGGTCGTGAATATTGGCTTCTAGCGAATGAAGAAGCTCTGCAGCACACTCAAAGCACATACGCCTGCACATACAACAAACCCTAGATAATACCCCGATGGGTGATCCTGCACGCTGGCGGACCATAGCTGATGGAGAGAAGGGATAAAACGATGTAGAATACGACAAAGAAAAGGGCGCTCACATAACCGCCGATCACAGGGCCAACACACCGGGCGAGACTGACGATACTTTGAGCAATTCCGTTGGCATAACCGACAGCATTTGGCGGTGTCACTGCATCAACGAATGTCAGAATAGAATAAATATCTAGAAGCATCGGACAACGCACTGTAATTTAGAAGGATGGCGATAGCGGTGTATCCAAATGTGATCCCGCAGTATCGCAAAGCCCTGTACGATCCTTGTTAGATCGTCCAATGGATACAGGAAACGTAACGCACGTGCTCAAAGCCAAAGCTGGTCCAGAGTAAGAATCAAGCATGGAACTAAAAAAGATGAGCGACATACCGGACATCAAAAGTAGGTTTCCATCATCCCCGGAGCTTGCCAAAGGTCGATAGAGTACGACTGTCAGATATGAGGGGATAAACAACACATTTCCCAATCGAAACATGGAAAGATGCGAAAATTTCCCTCTTGGAGGTCTGAGAAACTTCATTATTTTCTTTTCTTCTAACCGTCTAAACAATGATAACGCACCCGATGTTCCTATAGCAACAGAGGTGAGATGAGAAGGTAGTTGAACATCACTGAAAACATACGGGTATAGATAAAACTGATACGCAATTTGAGCGAGACACATCAGTGCGACTGATATGGTTTTAGTCTAGAAACGGAGAGACAAGAGCGAGGCACACACTAAGTTGAGCAAAATGACCCGCATTCAGGCCCAAGCCCCCAGTTTTATAATCCCTGTATATATCTCAGCAAACCATAAAATTCGACCGACACGAAGGCGTACGAGACAAGATAAGACATGAAGATTTGATCGTGAGTTGTGCAGTGTAATGCCATAACCCCATACTGGATAATGACAACAATGGGGAGCTGGGAAGCGAGTGAAGGAGGTTTTTCTGCAAGAGACTCGACATCGGCTTGTGAGTGCCTAGACTCTGTAATTGGCGTTAGAGAATCTGCGGGAACAGCGGAGTCTCCCTCATTCGCGAGAAGTAATTGTTGAGCATCGAGAACTGCAGACGGGGTTTTGACACCAGGATGGGCGAAGATGCTGGGGACGGCGGAGAGACGGCGTGGAGGAGGGCTAGTGAGGGGAGAAAACGAGATAGAAGGATGGCGGTTTGACAGTTGTTGAGGAGCTGAAGAGCCGGCGCTACTAGGTCCGGGGGTGCGAACACCAAAGTTCGGCACGGCAAATGAATTTCGTCGACCAGTATTTGGTAGCTCGGCGTCGGGCTGACTTCTTGACAATGGCTCGCCAAGATCCAGGGAGTCGGCGTCAGCATCGTCCTCTATCACATCCTCGTTGTCGCTCTCGAACGGGTCTTCATTGTCAACATTCATGGCGGCAGCTACCCAGAGATCAGCGATGTTCGTAACCGCGTTCTCATTGGCCATCAGTATTCGCTGAGCGAAGTTCAGATCAGGTCCTTCAAAAGGTGACTCTTGAGTCGCAGTATAGTTACTTCCACGCCTTCTCCTGAGAGAGCTTCCCAGGCTACCTCGTCTGGCATTAGAGGTTGCGTTGCTTGTGAGTCTGTTGCGATACCCTCCTGAGTAACCATAAGCAGATCCATTAACCCGACTCGTTCTTGAGAAAGTACGTGTCCGTTCTAATCGTGTTCCTGGAGATATCATTGGAACGGAGGGTTGGGTAGTCGGCGACGTAGAGAAGTCTTGAGCGTCAGTAACTCGCTTCGCGAAAAAATTGGAAAATCTTCTAGAAATTTTCTTCGTAAGGCTCGCGTTTGCATGAAGTTCTGTCTCCTCAAATACTGGCGTTGGAGGACTAGACTCTTCTTCCGGAATAGGAGGGTGATCGTCGGGCTTCTCGGGAGACAATCTGATTGCGCCATGCCGGGGACCACCATCCGGTCCAAGAAAGCAAGCGAGGACAGAACCTGCTTGAATGTCATTGTCCGGAATACGTGAAGACGACCACGGACTTACCTACAAAAGTAACCAATGCCGCAAGAGCACATGGCAACAAATAAGGATATTTGACAAATAATGGAAGGTCTTCGAAGATATCTGGCCATTTAACGGCTGGCCTTTCAACTGTGGAAGCACAATTTGGCGTTTATTTTATAGAGAAACGTTGACGGTGGGCTTACAAGAACCTCCGATTATTGCCCCAGCTACACCTCCTAACCCCCAACAAAACCTATAATGATTTAGACAATGACACAGATATGGTCAGGATTGTCTTACCCCAAAATCGCGTACGCTCTCCCCTCATTGGTAGCGTCTGTGATAAAAGCCACAGAACCCCGTGCAACTCCAACAGCTCCGGCAAATATGCCCTGCAAGAGGCGAATGGATATAGCCTGCTGGATAGTAGTGGCTGTTCCAAAGCTAAGACAAGTAATGGCGCTACCCAGAAGTGAGATGATGAGCACTGAACGTCGGCCATGTTTCTCTGCGACCGTGGCCTGTATCTCGTTCAATAATATAGCGCAAACAACGTCATTTTGAGAACATACCCATAGCAGTGAAGTGAGAAATTGCGTCAAAAAGAAGGCGGCAACTAAGCGTTTGATATGTCTGAGCCATTACCACTCCTGGTTCAAAACGTCAACTGACCGAGAACTCCTGTCCAAAATGCCACTTCTGCTTCGTCTGTAGATTCCCCAAAACCTGGCCCGCTCTTGAGGATAACGAGTCCGATGATTGTAAACAACAACTCACCCTTGACCATAAACAGCAGAAACGGTGTCGATACGTTTGCAGACAGAAATTCTCCTAGCATTGTCTGTCATAAAATCGCAAGCAATCAGACCAAGATATTGAAAGATGTAATAAAACTCACGATAGAAAGGACAATCATAGACAGTATGGGCAGCGGCGTTGTGTAAACCTCACCAGAGGGTTGCATCATAGTCGGTATAGGAGCGCGCTCTGTCGTCGGTGTTGCAGGATCTTGCTCATTTACCCTGTTGAGGAAACTTGGTCGATGTTTGAAACTTCCAAATGAAATTCGACCAAGGATTCGTCGTGTGGTGGATTCGGAGGCGTCATCACCAAGGCCCGACTCTTGCGAACCAAAGGACCTAATCGGAACAGACGGCCTCCTTTGGTTTGACATGACTGCACTGATCGTCCAGGCGCCGACCGTAAGGTCAGGAGAGGTGGTGAGAGATTGTATGTAAAGTTACAAGGAAGTTGGCGAAATATTTGCTTAGCGTTGCGTTTGTCCTGCAGCAGCAATGGAACCAAACATATTCGATTGGGGTGCGTCTCAACTGCGACTGGTCCACTTCACATAGGATCAACTTTTATCTGTTGTCGTCTATCTCTATCTCCTTCTGTTTATTTTGGCGAGAAGGCTTACTAAATATCGACTTTGTCGACAGCCTCGATCAAACGGCTATCACCTTGAACAAGTTGCAAGGAGGTTCAAGAAAGTTCACCATTGAACGGCTAGCGATTATGCGGTCTTGTGAACCATTCAATGCAACAGATTTCCGACCTTCCCTAGCAGATGGTTAGCCCGGCAGACGAGTTGGAAGATTGAATTACCGGTTCTCAGCGGTTCTGGCTGGCCTCAATGGGCGTAGTGCATTGAACTCTTCCTTCCTCACTTCAAGCATGCCAGCTGGGATTGCACCTCTTCTTGTGATTTTATCGGTCTCGGGGGTCGAGACTGAGAGCCAAGCTAGTTCCGACTAGGAACTGGTAAAGCTTATTTTGTAAATTCCGCTTCACCCCCCGAAAGATGCGCGATCCGACGATTTTAACTTCCCTGGCCACCCAGATCCCCCGGAAAATATCGTTACGATCTCGGTGATCACTATTTTGCAGTTGCGACTATCCTTTACCGGATCACATATGTCTTGTGGTATGCTTCGCTACCACCATGACTCTCAAGAAACATGACCCCCTCAATCCGCAAAACGACGCGCGGCCTTGGAACCCCACTGGGAACAACCCGTCAACTTTCGTAATTCCCGGCTTCCTCTCTCCTGCCATGATGCTTAACACCCGAGCAAACCTTACGACAAACCCAGGATTCAAATGCGACATCGGTGCCTTGAGAAACTCTGACATATATATGCAACCTAATCTGTCTTCGAAGTTTGAGCAGTATATCGGGGTGCAATATTTTATCCTCTACTCCCTGGCGATTTTATGGAAATATGGCGTCTTGTCTTGTCCTCTTCTTGCTGTCTTCCTTACGTCCTGGAAATTGAAGGGTCTCCTGACACGACGATTTCGGATCGGGACGAAAAGATCTGATTCTCTCCTCCTGCCTCGTTGCAATCTCAATACACTGGCCTTCAGATTGCACAGAGGCGAAGCTTGGACGCTTGCTTGCAGGACGAAATCGACAATGAACACTCAATGAGGCTGACCATTTTCTAAAATTAGAAGCCCACCGATCATATATTTCCCTCCTATAAAGCGCGCAGCCAAGATATTACAATCTTCCATTCCCTCTTTATCGTCTCCCCTTCATCTTCATTACCTCCTTTCCTTTTTCCTCGTTTGACCCCCTCCTGTCCTTCTCTATGCCATCCTCCGCCACCTCTTCCCCGTCCTCGTCGTTCTCGACTATCACGGACGTCAAGCCTCTGAAGAAATTCACAATACCTGATCTTGTCTCGCACTGTACATTCGACGTACGCATCAATCGCCACCGAAAGCAGGTCACTTCCGCCACCAAACAATGGCTCTTCAAAGGAGACAACCTCCTAATTGGCAAGAAACGCGACGCCTATCATGGCTTGAAAGCTGGTCTCCTAACAGCCATGTGCTATCCCGACGCTGGCCGCCCTCAATTGCGCGTGTGTAACGACTATCTCACCTTCCTCTTCCACCTGGACAACCTCTCGGACGACATGGACAACGGGGGAACGATCTCTACTGCCGACGTTGTCCTCAACTCACTATACCATCCGCACACATACCAGTCTTCTCCTCGAGTCGGAAAAATGACAAGAGAGTGCGTTGACCCCTTTTTCTCGTCAATAATACTTAGCCGACCTCTGCTTAGCTTTTACAAGCGGATGGTCCTGACGTGCTCGGCCGGTGTTCAACAGCGCTTCATCGAGACTTTTGATTTCTTTTTCCAAAGTGTAACTCAACAAGCTATTGATCGCGCCAACGGATCAATTCCTGATCTGGAGTCTTACATTGCCCTTCGGAGGGACACTTCAGGCTGCAAACCATGTTGGGCTCTCATTGAATGTACGTTCCCTTTTTTCATCCACTCATACTTTCACTTACATCCGCTTTAGACGCGAACAACCTTGACATCCCCGATGAGGTTATGGAGGATCCCATCATTCGCAGTCTCGGCGAGGCTGCGAATGATCTTGTGACGTGGTCGAACGTACGTTTCATTCATCTGATAGTACCACATGTACTCATGAATCATTCAGGACATCTTCTCCTACAATGTCGAGCAATCAAAGGGTGACACACACAACATGATCCCTGTCGTCATGAACCAACATGGCCTTGACCTGCAGTCCGCCGTGGATTTCGTCGGCAAGATGTGTAAGGACGCCATCGACCGGTTCGTTGACGATAGGACTCAGCTCCCATCCTGGGGACCTAAAATTGATCGCGACATTGCTGTCTATGTTGACGGCCTGGCCAGCTGGATTGTAGGCTCTCTGCACTGGTCTTTTGAGACCGAAAGATACTTCGGGACCAAAGGCCGCCAGGTGAAGGCTACTCGTGTCGTTGACCTACTTCCTCGCAGTGCATGATCAAACAACCCCACCCTCTCTCTCTCTCTTGGATATACCGCTTAGATGAAACGCTCTTTCGGCCTTCTCAGGTCTGCCACGCTCTTTCACGCCTTTCGCGCGTTGTATCATATCTCCGGCCACTGTATCTATATCAGCGCAACCACCCTCCTTCATCTTGGACACTTGTTTCATACGGACAT